AGAAGTTTTTATAATCACACAAATGTCATAATCCTACATAGTTTTTACCCTTAAGGTTTTAAGACCACAAATTTTAAGAGTATTCTTTTTTTCTTAAACTACGTGCCAAGTCAAATTATTTTATCTAAATTGAAAGGCAAGGAGTAGTAATCACCAGTATTCCTAGTACTTATATTGCTAACTATTTTTAGTACTATAGTACCTATTTATGGAAAAGGAGAGTAACTTTTTGCAGAATGACTGGCTGGGAAGTTGTTGAAATTTGTTACTGTGTTGGGTAATTCTTGAAGCTACTAGGGAAATGTCTGCAGGAGAATCTGAGACCCAGACATGGTAAAACAGAGGAAAATGACTGACGGTGTAAATAATAACTTACATTTACTGGTAGAATTTTTTAGTAGAAGTTAAACGGATAAAATAATCACAAATATGTCTCTACGGTAAACATTAATTCTTAATAGCTTTAAGTTATTACATTAAGAGTATAAAAAAGTGATTTTACACTAGTATTAAAATATCAACTATATCATGTTGTTACTTTATTGTTCAAGTTAGCTTATTAAACTTGTTATAGAAAGTTATCTATTGTTATATATCAACTTAACTAGATGACGTAAATTATCTATACACGGTTAATTCACATAACTTAAATTCATATGTAATATGATAAAGATTATAATTAACTTGCTATCACTGATTAAAAATTTCAAGTTTTATGTATGACGAGCGCAAAACACAACACGAAATTGATGTTCGCTAGCCAAATATAGTATAATTATCGTCTCCACAGGGATTGAATTTAAATAATGTTCAAGTAATTTCTGGCTTAACGCTATTCAGGTTGATCAACACTTGATTTGAGTGATTTTGAACTAAAATTAACTATTAAAATTAAAGCAATTAACAATTGATCACGGAAAGACATGATTTGAGCAACACTGAAATAACCAATCGGAGAAATAAGGGTCGTGACAGAATAAGTGCAAGATACTTCAGGATCTAACTCTAGTTGAGTTCACTCTAATATTCTAATGATTCTCACGAATTCATTTAATGTTTAGTTCAAACATGTAACCAAGACTCCTCTCTCGATTAAATCTTAACTCTACGAGGTGAACTAATATAAAGCCATATGAAAATATGCAAGAATACGTTAATGGAGTCTTTAGAAAAACGTCTCTCGAATATTCTCCTAACTTGATTTAGTCAACAATTCAACAAGCTCTTTCGGGAATGGTTGGTTTAGGTTTGGAAGGGTTCGGATTGAAATCAGAACACTTAGTTCCTTAATAGTGGCCTATGATGGCCAAGTTTGACTTGAGATAACATTTTGAGTAAATGACTTCGGAACCAGGATTTGATGGTTCAAATAGGGTCGTATGATGATTTTGCTCTTGGGCGTGTGTTCGACTCGGATTTCGGGTGATCCGGGAGCATTTCAGCGCTTAATGTTGGAAGTTGGTGCATTGAAGGTTTTCTAGTTCTTTAAATTTGGTTTGGAGTAGCCTTTGGAGTTATCGAGGTCCTTTTGAGATTCCAAGCCCGAGAATAGTTCTGTATGGTGATTTATGACTTGTACGCAAATTTTGGGGTGACTCCGAGTAGTACAAGTATGATTCGGCGCGTTCGGAGCTAATTGAGAAGTTTGAAGTTTATAAGTTGATTCGATTTGGTTTTGGGGTGCGATTCTTAGTTTTGATATTTTTTATGCATTCTGAGGGTTTGAGTAGGTCTGTATTATGTTTACGGACTTGTTGGTGCAGTTGGATGGGGTCCCCGGATGGTTTGGGTATGTTTCGGACCGGAGCTAAGTCCAAAACTGCTGTACTTGCTGGTTCTGGTTTTCTTCTTCGCGAACACGGAGATTTCCTCGCGTTCGCGATGAAGGAATGAGACTAGGGGAGGTTTTGTTCTACGCGTTCGCGAAGGGGAGCTCGCGATCGCGGTGCTCTGGGCCATTGTTTATCGCATTGGCATACCTGTGCCCATGTTCGCGTGAAGAAGTTGGGTTTGGGGGGTCGCTAGCCAATTGCCCTTCACGTTCGTGAAGGTAGGGCCGCGTTCGCGAAGCTTTGGTCAGGCACGCCTTTGCGATCGCAGGGCCTTCTTTGCGTTCGCGAAGCACATTTTCTGGGGCCTGGGCAATTTGCCGTCGCGATAGCGAGGCCTCTTCCGCGATCGCGAAGAAGGAACGCTGAGTAGAGACTTTATTAAAAACGGGACTTTGGCCTCTTTTGTTTATTTCTCTCACTTGTGGCCGATTTTGGAGCTTTTTAGAGAGGGATTTTCACCTAGCATTTTGAGGTAAGTGTATTATACACAATGTGAGTTCAATACATAGATTATGGGTAGATCTTAACATGAAAATTATAAAAAAAATTAGTATTTTGTTGAAAAATCTAGGTTTTGATAAAAGGGGATTAGACCACAAAAATGGTTGTTGAATTGAGTAGAAATTATATATTTGTGTTCGTGAGGTTGTGGGTAACAATTACTTACAAAAATTTCTGGAATCCGAGCACGTGAGTCCGTGGGTGAATTTTAGGAATCTTCTAAATTGGGTTGGGTAATTACTCTAATAGTTAAATTATGAACTTTTGAGAAATTATTGATTAGTTTGTACAACCTTTGTCTAGTTTCGGATTGTTCGACACCGACTTGAGGCTTTTAGAGTTATTTGTTGACCAAAAAATGAACTTAAGAACGAGATAAGTCTCTTGCCTAACCTTGTAAGAGGGAATTAACCCCATAGGTGTTTAAATTGTTGTTTGCTACTAGTTGTGGGTGCTACATACGCACGAGGTGACGAGAGTCCGTGCGTAGCTAAAATTCATGTTATGTCCGGGTAGACATAGGCCTTTATTATACTATTATTTGCACTATTTGAACTCAACTTGCTAGTTTAATTGCTTGAGTTAATAATTAAAATTTGGTTAAATATTATATTAAATCGAGCTTCATTACTTATAGATTTGGTGGAATATTTAATTATTGATGAAAATTTATATTCTTTGGTGGGTTTACCTTGGAGTTGTAAATACATAATTTGTATTCCGTAGAGTTTTCTTATTCCTGTGGATCGGACCGAACGCCTTGGCAATATTTATATATATATTATGGGATGCATCCATAGATCGGGTCGTACGACCTCGGTAGTGTATGTACACGATTATTATGGAATGGGCCGTAGACCTCGGCATAACTTGTGCGTGTTGTCACTCGCAACCCGATTATACTTGATGTCTTTCATGACTTGAAAATTTATAAATACGTTGGCCCCTTACTTGTTGAGATTAGCATGTGATAGTTGGGGATTTTAATTGTTATTTTGTTAAAGGATCATTTAATTATTGCCTCTTATTCCATTATTGATGTTGCGCATGCCTATTTAATATTCTTGCACATTATGTATATTGCCCACTAGTAAGTGTCAATGTCGACCCCTCGTCACTACTTCTTCGAGATTATACTAGATACTTACTGGGTATATGTTGTTTATGTACTCACGCTACACTTCTGCACATATTGTGCAGCTTCTGAGACATGTGCATCTGGAGTTCGTTCGGGCGTGCATCCGCATTACCTGGAGGCCTAGTGGTGAGCTGCTTCTCATATTCCGTTCTGCAGCACCCGGAACCTTCTCTTGTTATGTTTTATCATTTTTGTCTATTTTGTTTCAGATAGTAGTTCTTAGAGAGTTTTTGTATATTCTACTAAATTCTCGTGCACTTGTGACACCGGGTTTTGAAAGTTCCAGTGGACACTCATGGGTTTCGATTATTTAATTCACTATCTTACTTTCGCGTTTAGTTTATGCTTTACATTACTACGTGTACTTACTATTTGTTTTCTTATTAAGTGCAAAAAAAAAGAACTTTAAAAATATTAAATAAATAATTAAATGGGTAGTTCACCGTTGGCTTCCTAGCGGTGACATTGGGCGCCATCACGGCCTATAATGGAAATTGGGTCGTGACACAGATAATGCAAGGAAAATCACCTAAAATATTCCTCTTTCGTTTAAATAATTCGGTGAACAAACTTGCAATCAATTCAAAGCTCAATAAACGAATTCATGCAAACAACTAGAGTTAAAATTCATAAATATCAATCGAAATACCATATCAGTCAAACCCTAAAGTAAACTACTCCATAATCATGGAGAAAGTCCTCACAAATAAAGTTAAAGAGTAAGAAAATATGAATTCAATCCAAACTTGGGTGTTGAGTTGAGGAAAGAATGACGAATCCGTGTGTTTTAGAGTCTCCAATGCTCTTCCAATCTTTCGTAGGTCAAAAGTCCCTTTAAAAAAGTATTTTTGATGTATTTATACCGTGTATAAGCGAGTCCGAACGAAATTACACTTTCCAAGCCAAAACAGAAAAACACTCTAAGAAAATTATACAGGCGCGACGCCCCATGCGCCGCGCCAGTGGGAAAGTTCAGAGAGCAGATTTTTTCCACTTTGCAGGAATTTTGCACTAGCACCTTGTGCCCCGCGGAGCGGTAGTGCATTTTTCTTGAAGTAATTTTTTTCTCACTTTTTAACATTGAGACTTGGTCCTTGACTCCCGAACGTGATCTCAGCTTAATTTCTTGAGCTTCTACTCAAACTTCAAAGCTCCAAATCATCCATTTTAGCTCCAAACTTGCTTATTCACTCGAAATCACATCTTACACGGCATAACACACGTAATAAATACAAAATACTAGCAATTAGGCTCAATTACAATCAAAGTATAGCAATTGGAATGTGAAATATAGTTAAAAACATGAGTTCCTAGCTTATCATCAATGTACTGATAGTGTAAAAAATATTTACACAATCAAATTAACTTTAAAGTAATTACAAAATACCTTTATAATAATAAATAATAATAGTAATTGATAACCCAACAAATATAGTAACAAACCTGCTATTACATGTCAAACTACACGGGTATAAAAGGACTTTAATTATATATACTGATAATATAAATTCTACATTATCCATGTGTATAAGATTGTAAATTCTTTCTTTCTACCTTCTTTCTGCATTTTCCCACTATTTCTTCTACTTCCTTAATTCTTTGCCCTCCTTAGTCATCCTCAAATTTTTCTGCTCAAAACTCACAGTATACCAATTATGCATTTATCAGATCTTGATTTAATCTTGTGATAATTTGTCTTAATTTTTCTATATAATATATCTTTGTGGTTATTATTTGATCTCCAATGGAATACTACTGCAGTGTTAGATGGAGGATTATTGTACAGAAAAAGCTTCTTCTCTTTTTTGCAATCTCTTTCTTCTTTCTCTCAGTTTTTGCAGGCTACAACACTCTCAAATCTACAACTCTCTTGGGTAAGTTTCTGCTTAATTTCATACTTAAACATACACTTATCAGGTAGTCAGTGGAGTCAAAATTTTCACTAAGAATTAGTCGAAATATAAAGTAGTAACACATGAATAAATTAAGGGGGATTAATCAAGATATATGTAATATATATACATAATTTTTTTGACTTCTTTACACGTTTAATTTCCGGTGAAAAGGTGTCGGTTGACTCCCTTTAAACAAGGGTAGTTCTACTTATATAATAAGTACGGAACTTAAGTATTTTTATTTTCTTGAGCCGAGGGCCTTCTGAAAATATCCTTTCTATTTCTTCGGGGTAGGGTAAGGTGTGCGTAGACACTACCTTCCCCGGAGCCATTTTTGGGATTTTACTGGATCTTTATTGTAGAATTTAAGTATCTTTATACAATCAGTGTAACTTTCTTTCGGTCTCTTAATTATTCTGAGGCGAAGTTTTATAGGAAAAAGACGTGTATAACCGCTCTTAAATTATTATCCAAAAAAAATATATTTTTTGTAAATTATATTATATGTATATAATATAAAAAATTATATAAATTTTATGCTTTTTTGTTATGATCAGATATAAATAATTTTGATCGCGGGTTAAAAGTGACCTCTGTCCAAGTTTTATTGATATTATGATATTTTTGTTATTAATGCTACATTGTTGTTATTAACGCTAACAATATTGGTGCAATTTAACTTTTTGCGGGAGGTTACTTTCTTTATTTTATCAGGTTACTTAATTATATTGATTATTAGTTATCTTTGATTATTTAAGATGACATGATAGTTTATAATTTTTCTTAAACTGATAATGTTTATAGATGTTAAATACTTACTATAATTAGTTATGGCTAAGTGTAAATTTTCCTTTTAACCTTCATGCTCTTTCCATTTTCATCTTTGCAGAAATCAATTTTGCGTTCGCTGCTAAAGCAGATATTTCCTTTCAGGTCTGTTCGCTTAACTGAATATATTTAATTTTCTAACTACGGCCAGAGTAGAAATTCAGTTATATGCACAAATTTAATTGCAATTTCTTTTATTTATGTTAGTATATTTACTTTAGGTTCAATATGTATTTGAAGCCGCTTTAGTCTTCTTAGAGCTTGGATATAAGAATTTTTTCATATTTTTTTGAAAATTTTCACTTTTTTCCCGAAATCAGTGTTTGGCCATAAAATTTTAAATTTTTACTTGAAGATGAATATTGGAATTTTTCGAAAATTTAAAAAATTACAAAAAACTGTTTTTCAAAATTTTTACTCAGATCACTCACAAAACTTCAAAACAACCTAAAATTATATTCATGTTCAAACACAACTCTAATTCTCAAATATCATTTTCACTTGAATTTTTTTTGTTAATTTTAAATTTTACAATTCTTATGTCCAAACGCCCACTTAGTGTTCATGCACCCGTTAAAAATGTAAAAAAGATAATAGTAGTAATTGTTGTATATATAGAGATTTTAGTGTGTTAATTAGTACAATCAAGTTATTTATCCTGTTAATTCACATTTTACTACAGACAATTATGTGTACACATTAGCATAAACAATAATCTCTTTAGGTTTGGTTACCTTATTGGGAATATCATAGTATTATCTATCTCAAATATATATTGTACTTTTACTTGTCTATTATATAAAATATATATGTTTATTTTTACTTGTTCATTTTAGCAAATTAAGAGAAAGATAATTTTTTCCCCTATTTTACCCTTATTATTAACTACCAATTCTTCAAATCATTTTTCAAGATTTTTTGAAATGCTATCATTATTATAGGTAAAATTATAAATTATAAACTTTATTTATTTTTTCTTAAATGAAGTACAAAATTAAAAGAGGACAACTAAAAATAAATAGATGGAGTAGAAGGTAAATTTTCTAATTATAAAATTATAATTCTGAAATTATTCCCTTGCTTTTTCCAATGATCAAGTCCATCCAACAATAGGAAAAGTCAAGGCGTGCACGCTAACATCTAGATGAAAGACACAGTCTTAATTTGTCCTCATCTTAATCGCTCTTCTTGTCTTCTCAACTTCAACCGGCGCATTGAACGGAACCATGTTCCTATGTTTATTCGTAATTGTTTGTGTATATAGTATTACGTATTTACGTAGGGTCGGAAAAAAGGTGGTATTTAAAGGGTGTGACATAGACAGTTTATCGTAATATAAATATTAATGGTTACTTGCACAACTCGATAACCTATAGGTCACACAGAGAGAATTTTATTGTTGATCTATCTCCAAAACTCCCCATTCTTTTCCATAATTGTTTATATCGGATAAATTTATTCGTATCTGGATGTTTATATTAAAATAATAAATATACATTATATATTTACATATATATTTCTAGCACTTAATCTTGATTATAAATTAATGTGTATTCTTACCTCACTATATATATATATATATATATATATATATATATATATATATATATATATATATATATATATATATATGAACTCTAGCCCGAGGCTATAGGTTAACTAGTGACATTTTGAGTTACTGATCACCTAAAAATAGTAAAGAAAACAAAATGTTCTTGTTATATAAACTGACATTTTAAGCACTATGAGTCTAATTAATTAGTTGGATCCGAGAATATTTGATCAAAGTTGAAAAAAATTGAAAAGGAAAAAAAAAACAGTTATCGTGTTTGTATATGAACTTCACCTAGAAAAATATTGTGAAAATTGAAAATTCATGACCGAAACAATTATTTACTTGAAATACTCGTAAAATATCATTTTTATATTTCACTATTATTTTAAATATTTGATATTCAAAAACAAATAACTAAACCACCATTTGCATAAATCGACTTTTAACATATTTGGTGCCCAAATGTGAATATTCTTTCTATCATATTAGAAATTCTTTCTCTTTTTTTATTTTTTTATTTTTTATTTTTATTTTTTATTTATGTTTTTATTTTGCTATTTTTATTTTATTTATGTGAACAATACCTTGATGTTTATTGAGGCAGAAATTAAACACGGGAACTACAAGGAGGATTTTAGGCGGACTCGGGTCATCGCCGCCGCGGTGCATGTCAAAATGCGGCAGATGCACGCCATGCCGGCCGGTCCATGTGGCGGTGCCGCCGGGGACTCCGGTGACTACGGAGTACTACCCAGAAGCTTGGAGGTGCAAATGTGGAAACAAGTTGTACATGCCCTAGTTATTCATGCATATATAGCTAGGAATAGCAACAGAACTAATACACTCTTTCACTCTATTTTATGAGGAAAAATGATAGTGATAGTATGATTTACAGTATTATCTGTTTTATGTGTACATAAATTGTCTGCCAATACTAATGTAGAGCTACTTCCTCAATGTTAAATTTGTTTTCCATTTTTTTTTTGGAGTTACTTGGGCTGATTGCATGGCTCAGTCATCGGAGAGAGACAAGGCCGTAGAGAATCGGTAAAGTTATTTTCTTGTGGCTTATAAATTATGGGTTCGAACCATGAAATTAGTCATTATTGCTTGTATCAGATTAGGCTGCCTACATCACACCCGACCCCTTTGGGTGTGGTCCTTCCCCGAATCCTGCATGAACGCTGGTTGCTTCGTGCACCGGGCTGCTCTTTTCATCACTAGAGAGAATTTTTTCGAGTTTAACTTCTACAGGCTGACAATGAACCTTTTTAATAATATAAGTATATTTTAGCTTGTTGTCAAAGATTACTTTTTTTCATTTTCCATGTTATTAAATTCAACTTGTTATAAAAAATTACTTGTAGTTATTTTTTAAGTCACCTTATATTAAAAAAATTCTGTTACACTATCGATGTTAAATTTTCTTTTTTAGAGTGATTGAACGGTTTGGTAGACATGGGAATTCTTTGGTATTTTTTTGTGTCTGAGTTTTCCCCTCTAATGAAATTCTGAAGAGAGGCACGATGTTCAAAGCAAGAGAGCAGGATTTGTTTGGCTTGTATTAGCAGTTGATTGGTGCCTCCCGCCCTCCCATATGCATGTCATGTCTGTGGTTCAGATTTGGGGCCTTTTTGACAGAAATAACATGCAAATGCCCAATAAACCTCATAACCCTATGTCCCTATCCACTGTTTGTGTAGGACATGCACGAGAAATATAATAACAATAATAACAAATATAATATAATTTTACAAGCGACGTTTGAAAAGGATAGTATGTAGGCACACCTTACTCTTATCTTAAAAATAGAAAAGTTGTTTCCGGTAGACTTTTGGCTCAAAAAAAGATATAACGAAAGCATCGGCACAAGCATTGATAATAACAAGATAATAAGAAAATAAAGCGAAGGGACAACATATGGTAATAGAAATCTTAAATAATGGAACACCGGACTAACACTAATACTATCGGTATAGAAAATATGCGCAATAAATAGATTCCATTTTAAACTTGATAAGTTTAAAATTCTGAGTTTTCCTAAACTATGAGTTCCAAAATTGATATTTGTTCTATTTTTGAGGGGTTTTCACTTATATAGGTGTGGTCTATATGTTGAAAACTAATTGACTCAATTGAACTCACTTTCAACATTCTAGTCCGCCTTTCACTCAATTGCGAGTATCATGAAAGCATTCACTGCCTTTGGCTGAACCTCTAATAATAGTTGATTTTTTTAATAAGAAAATCAATTATTTATACTAGTTAGATGATCACGCCCAACTATATATGCCTTATAAAAAGAACTAAGCGATCGCTACAAATATAATCCTGTTTATAAGTTCGGAGTCAAATCCTACAGGGAATTAACCTACTAATGACAACTGCTAGTTTCACAAGAATTCAAGTAATCAACTTTCAGAAATATTGAATAATGAGTTGATTGTTTACTAACTAAAAACAAGGTATTTAAAAAGCTGTAGTTTTATTACTAACAAAGCAAATGTTGTAGACAAGATTGGAGAGGTCTGGGGTTACGATTTCCCCTCTTATCGGAACGTCTCCTATAAATTCCCCTAGATACTCTCTACTGATCGTGAGCACTTTAGGTGTCGTAATTCTCTTCCGAGAAAATACAATAATTTACTAGACGTATTCTTCCGAACTACGCTAGCTGGCACTAGTTTACCGCTCACAAAGATCCCACCAAGGTTTTGTTATTCCTAATCCCATCTTTAAACCCTCCGTATTGATCCCTCATATACGTTAGGAGTGATGTTGTTCAACAACTACCTAAATATGTACCCTTCCAAGTAATACACACTAAATAGGCATAGTTAATTGAGGGCCCTTCAATCAACCACAATAATCACGTAGTTGAACAAGTAGAGAAAATCCAATGGCAAACTTATATTAAACGCAACAAAAATTCATCTCCCAAGAGGTTCAATCAAACCTTAGAATAATGAGTTTAGATACTCATAATTGTTTTCACAGCTACAATATAAGAATTCATCACCAATAATAGAAAAAGGGAAGAAGAAAGATAAAAACTCGTTTCCGAATCTTCCGTCTTGCTCCTTGCTTGTTCTTCATTCAAAGATGTTGTGTTACCCTTAAAAAGTCATTCTTTGATGTATTTATATCACTTAGGGTTGCTAAGGGGCGGAATTTTCGAATCCAACTTCGGCTGGGAGAAGCTGAAATCCACGTCCGCCTTCGCGCGTTGCGCGCCCATGGACGCGGATTCAGCTTTTGAAATTCTTCCATTTCGCGAAGCGATCCGTGCCTTTGCTTCAATTTATTGTTTTGTGCCTTCACTTTTCACCTTTTTCGCGCCTGTTTTCGTGCCACGCACGAGAATAGACGAGCTCCTACTCCTTCCATTTTTCTCCTTTTTGTAATAATTTGATATCTTTTGCTCCATTATCATTCAAGCTCACTCCTACAAATAAGAAATACATAATGAGTATAATTCACTTCAAATATCATGTAATCTCCCGCAACTCACATGACAATTGAGATGAAAATACACTTAAAATCATGCACTTTTGGCCATTTATCACCACCTCACACTTAGACTTTTGCCCGTCCTCGAGCGAATAAGATTAAGCACATAGGCAAGAAACAAATTTTCAAACCTACTCAAGTCTCACGCCAATGACAATGGTTTATACCAATGCTTAGAACCTAGCATAAGCACTATTCATACTTTTCCTCAAGCTTTACGTCATGCCAAGACTAATTAAAATAATGGTGTGACTCTCTCTAACACCCTAGCCTAAAAATTTGACTCCAATACATCCCAAACTAAGACTCACTTCTTGGGCCAACTCAAAAACCAAGGCTTTTACATATCTTTTGCAAATCACGTACCCTCACCAACAAACCAAAGAGAGAAAGTAGTCCACACACTCAAACATAAGTTTAAGTATATCTTAACGACTCTCTAATCGAAAGAATTCGCTCACTCTCGCAAAAATAACTCATATGCCACCCAAGTTCGTACCATAGGCTTGCCCGTAGTGTAAGACTTGACTAATTTAAGTCTGCACAGACTCAGATCAAGTAGGACTTCATAGCTTGTAATGTAGGCTAAGGGACGGGTAGGATATATTTGGAAAAAATAGTGACTATCCCTCCTAAACACTTTAATACACTACACTTCACTTTCAAACGCCTTCTCATCATGACCAAGTCAATGTCAAGCCATGAACCAATACACAATTAGGCCCTTCTTCTTTAAGCATATCGTCACATCGATGCTCACTAGCCCGGATCAATACCTGGGGAGGTGTACTTCAAAATCTAGTATTTTTTTTACACTCCCCTTAATTTTTGGTGTTTCCAGCTAGTAATTCATTTAAACACAACGCGCCTTCTCACCCTTTCTATGGTTCCACTCAAAAGTTACCCGGCATCTCTCTTTACTCTTATAGCGGCGTAAGTGATTTTGGAGGTAAAAGGTGAACAAGATTTGATTAAGAACAAGGGGAATTTAGCTGTAATGTGGGTGCCAATGAAAAGGTCTACAGGCTCAAAAGGATTGACTATGGATAATATTAGCACTGGTGGACAAAAGTGGTCAATGGTCAATCAAAGAAATGCCTATATCATCTCATAGTCTAACGATACTTAATAATTTTGTTTCGACTCACACGGGGCAAGTTCTAGACTAGCTCGGGATGGAAAGAGTACAACTCAAACTTCTCACCTCGCACAATGCACATGACCTACTTAAGACGACTCAGACCCGGCTCTCAAGTTACTGCAGCTAAGACAGTCATCATAAAACTAAACCATATAGGAAGTACATAACAAGAGTAAAAAAATGAGCCCAAGAGTCAGAGTAAAGTCACATATATTCTCAAGGCACATACTCACAAGAATTAAGAGGAAAGTATTAAGCACAAATGCTCCAGGTCTAAGCCCCAATATAAAATATGTCTTGAAGCACAATACCCAATCTCTTCCCATTCCTATATCAGTTCAAAACAAACAAAGGAGAAAAATCTTTTTGTATTTTGTTTGTAGATTTTAAACCCTCAAGAAAACTTTCTAGGTAATCCATCGTTGGGCAAAGTCCACAAATTCTTTTACAAAGTTTGAAAAAGAAAAACTACCTAAGACTACCCGGTTCAAGAAAATGGCATCCTCGGGAAAGAATCGTGGTTAATAACCCAGAATTAAGCCAACAAAAAGCTAGCTACAATTATACAATTACAATGGCCTTGAGTGTGATCATAACAAAATTTATCACTAGCAATTAAACACATGCCACAAAAATCAAATTCTGACACTCCCACCCCACACTTAAGAGAGTGCACTGTCTCCAGTTGCACAATTTCACAGAATCATACAAAAAATGATCGATAGTAGAGTGGGTGTAAGAAACCCCCTCGTCATATCTCAGGCGGCTCACTTCAGATTGGTGGCCTCAGTGTCCACCTCAGAAGTTTCAGTCTTTTCCTTTGCATGCCTAGCCTTTGTTCGTGCCTCTGTAGCACCCTTCTCCACTACATTATTGTCAGTTGGTGGTTTCTTTGGAGGTGGATAACCACTACCACCATCTCCATGGCTTCTAGTTGATGTTTTCAAGACGGCCATATCACCTGCAAAAGATACCAAACACATATTAGTATAATGCGTAACATTGAGTCATAGCGGTATACATCGCACCCCATACTTAGCTCGAAAGCGTAAGTGTGCAACCAGGGTACAAGTGACTAGTACAACTTAATTACATTGATATAAGGTTACTTAGCATCATTGAAAATCAAGTGGGTAGGACGACGCACACGTCGTGCACGAGTCGTGCATAAGTTGGCCGCGGGTTGACATTCGTTCTAAAACGAATGCAATTTAAGTGCAAAGACCCCAAACGACTACCCCACACTCAATAGGTGTTCATATTACCAAAACAATTAGTCTTGCTACTCAGACTTTGCAACATCTATCAAAATTTTCATTCGGGTAATTT